TATTTCATGTCCAGTTTCTACCATGTGTTCGGCCACTTCTGACCGTTGGATCCAGCTACCTTTGCAAGCAAAAATAACAGAACCAGCATGAAAGAAAATTAACCAAACCACTCTATATTGATCTATCTCGGTTTTTTATTTTTTATTTTTTGGCTCGATTGAGTCTATATAAGAAGTAAGATATAGCCGGATAGTGTTCTTGCTTTAGTGTTAACGTGAGACTTCTACAAGAATGACACCCAGCTCTGATGATGTCCATCATATGATGGACGAAAGCTCAGCACGTTTTCACCTGAAACGAGGGAGGAAGCCTCGTGGACTGCGTCAACATAAATATCGTATAAAAGCCAAACGGCTGCAGTACGAGATCCATCCGTCCTCATATGGTGAGATCGACCAACGAATCTCTTCTTCATGCACTTTCATCCGAAATGAAGATCCCCCTAACAATGCTATCTCTGGAGAGTCATCGAAACCAAATTTCTCTTCGTATCCAAGTCAACACAGTTTCTAACTCAGCTCTGCCATGCTCAGACAAGTGGGTAGAAATATTCTTAATGAACACGTCTCATATTGAAGCAGTTAACAATACTTGTTAATATATTCAACTAATTCATTGAGAATAAAAGACACCAAATAGAATACGAGATTTAATTTCAAGCTAAAATGATTATGGCTGATAAGACCTAAGATTGATGTTGTGGTATGCTAAAAGATGAGTCCCACTCTGGCAGGAATATCTTGAGTGCGTCCTCAGTTACGCTCTTTAAATCTGCATGTATGGTGTGTATAAAACCTGGGTTTAGAAGAATCCCTTAATAGATTGATGCTATTGGAGTTGTGATTGTAAATTTGTGCGAATAGGTCATCGGCACACCGCCCTGCTACTTCGATTAATCCTTGCTGAGCTTTCGTTCGTCATGTCAGGACATCGTCGGAGCAGGACGCCATCCTTAACTATTATTCACCTATTGGTGACGGACGAAAGCTCAGCAAGGATTCCTCGAGGTCGCAGGGCGATGCGCCGATGATCTATTTGCACATATCTAACAAGCACAGCTCCAAGGTAACTCCTCCACAGCCTCCGGTGGAGGCAACTTACGAATCCCTTACACTCGTCTCTCCAAACGAAATGAAGGGTACTCCAACATATGCGTGTTGGTGCCTGTTGATGGATAATAAATTTATGGCTGGCTTACAGAGCTCATTGAATTCAATATTTTGTTACATTGATGTCATCCTAGATGGTATGTAATGCTTACATTTTTGGCACCTTTACCAAATACTTTCGGCACTTTTGTTCCTATCAAATCCCCGCGCACTTGTCCTGCTAGTTTGTTCATTTAATTCTTTTTATCTCAATTTTCTCTTGATCATATTGGTCATTGTGAAAAAGACCTTCCTTGAGGCCCTCAACTCCAAATACTACCTGGGTAAGATGGGGAGCTAGCATTTTTTCTTTTTTGCAAGTCTCTTGATGTAGAAAGCAAGCTTCTCTAGGGATGAAACAATACACATCTTCGTCGCCTCAACTGGGTAGAAAACCTATCCCAAAATTAATCACTTAGATATAGTCTGGATCACGATCGTAGGCTTAATTCCGCCAATTTTTTTATTTTGGCCAATACACCTACCCAGATAGCAATTGCCTGAGCGAACCTTCATCTCCAAGCTAACCGAAACATACCATCGAATTTTTGTATAATCAGAAAATTGTTGACTTGAAGAAGTACAGATTCAATGGAGAGTGAGGCCGATCTGATCTTCGTGCCAACTTGGCTGCTCTTTGGATGCCACGGATATTGGCTTTTACTTTTTACTTCTTACTTTTATCATATAATCGTCTTTACAAGAAGCGGTTGAGGCTAACTATAGAGGTCGCATCCACCCCTCTCAGCTTATTCTATAATTGCGT